GTCTTAAACACGATCCTAAAATGTACAGGCAGCCAGTGTAAAGTGCGGAGAACAGGAGTAATGTGGGCAAGCCTGGGAATGTTGGACAGAAGTCGAGCTGCTGCATTTTGGACCAGCTGGAGTTTTCTAACCAGCGACTGAGGTATACCAACGTACAGGGCATTGCAGTAATCTAAACGCGAAGTGATAAAAGCATGAATCGCCTTTTCTAAGTTTCCCCGAGATAAAAAAGGCTTAACCTTAGTTAAGAGTGTGAGATAAAAGAAACTGGTCTTAACAACGGATCTGATCTGCTTATCAAACTTAAAACCCGTATCAAATATCATTCCCAGGTTTTTTACCATGTCTGTAAGTGCAGGGGCAGGAGCAGCGGCACATAAGCTGGATATACCTGTGGCTTGGTCGGGACTGATAAGAATAAATTGCGTCTTATTCTCGTTGAAGTGGAGAAAATTCTGAGCAAGCCAATTTTTAATATCCCGAATACAGTCATACAATGGAGTAAATGCTTTTGGGTCAGACAATACCAGTGGCATATAGATTTGAATGTCATCCGCATAGAAAAGAATATGAACATTATGCCTGGATATAATTGACGCCAATGGTGAGATATATAAGGAAAAAAGTAGCGGTGTCGAGGTCGATCCTTGTGGAATGCCAGAAGTAAGCTGGACTGTATCAGAAGAAGACTCATCAATAGTGACAGAAAAGGTTCTATCTCTTAAGAAAGAGCCAAACCACTTTAAAACCGTGACCCTCAAGATAAGACAGAGAACAAAGAAAAGAAGGAGGAATGTGAATTAGGAAACTAAAGATAAAAATAAGTACTTATAAATCTCTTTCTCTCGATCGATATACACACACACACACACACACACACACACATATATACACACATTCATAGTTTAGATGCAGTTAAGATAGATAAAAGATAGATAAATATATAAAAGTATATTTACAAGGTAATCGTGAAATCAAACCATCGGGAAAATAATGAGCAGAACTTTGGATTCAAGAGCTTAGATGAAAACTCATGGAGCTTCAGTTAACATTAACATGTGACTCAATTGAAGACACATCAATCATGCATCATGGTTTAGGATGAGACCCCACGGGTTGGGTTTTAAATTCATCTGCACAAACTACACATTAGTTCAAACTGGTCTGAACTTGAGTTTCTGAAGAACTGACAGTCTTGTTCTCCATAAAAACCTGTTTTTAATGGAAAAGTCAGCGTTATTTTCTGTTGTGTTTATACCTGAAACAGAGTGAACGAGAATGAGAGATTAAGAAAAATATGTATTTTAAATTTTCTTTAATGCTGCAGGCCAAAACAGCAGAGTGCTCCTCGTTTTCTAGATCAGCGGTCCTAACATTTTTAGCTTGTGACCCTTTAAAATGAAGCGGTGCAGGGACCAGTTCAACCAGTAATTTTTCCTTTCTCTGATCAACATATATAATATACAGATGTCTGAGCAGATAAAAACTATAATGCACACACACACAAAGAAAAATACTGGAGGAAAGGTCTGACAAAACAGACTGGATTTTGTATGCAAAAATAAATCCTCCTGCTTATGACGTTCAATATGTCCCAATTCATTTAGCAAGTCCTAGGGGGCCCCCGACCCCAGGGCAGGCTGGGAGCAACTATCCAAGAATAAAAACCTATTATATTCTTTTGATTTCTATCAACAGATGTTACGAGGACCATCAAGAACTCAACTATACAGAATCCGCTTTAAAATACCATTACGTTTTTTGTTTTTTTTTAATGAACGCAATCCTGATGCATTTTCTCCGACTCTCTGGGTTCTGGTTGTGCATAAGCATATGAAACAGGTGTTAGAGAAAAAGAGCATATGTTCCCAGTCGAGTGCAGACTAATTCTGGTGAAAAATTACCCTCCAGCGGTACCTGTCGAACAGCAAGGAGATGCTTCCTGCTAATACTGATATGCCTGTGTGTTCAATTTTAATGGCAATGTGTATATTACATACTTTACTGACATAAAATGCTGAGCCTGCTGGGCGGTGCTGAGGAGAATGAAAAGCAGCAGGTTGCTTTTGATGCACAAGGCCGTCAGAAATCACTGCTGAACGCTGCTGAGAGAAATGGCGGCGCTGACAAAATGTCATTCTCTGTCTACTTTGTCAGCGGTTCCCCTCCTCTCCTGGAGCCTGTGTACGAGTGTGCGTCTTATTACTGGATGTTAGAGGGGCTGGAGAGCCATTTTACAGCTACTACTGTGAAACGCGAAGAGGACCTTGTGGAGAGGTTTTGTGATTGAAGTGCGTACTTTGCTCTGAATCTCCCACGGCTTGGCAATGGCAGACAGGTCACAAGCAGTCATCATCATGGCCCTAGAAACACAAAGCATGACTGTAATGACTGGGTTGAATACACGTGTTGGCACCTCTCTGTCGGTGTGTTTCCACTTACATGACAATCTCTTTGCGCGTGGTCTCCAGCATCATGTATTTGGTCCAGTCGTTCCGGTTCTCATAGGTTTTTGACTGGTCCACGATCTTTTGGAACATCGTCCTCTTCCTGCACAGAAACACAAAGGTGATCTGGCAAACTAACAGCAACACACACAGGTGAGTGTACAGGGATGGCTCGGAGACGATTAATGTGAGGGCGACTGTTCTGATAAATCCACAGCTAGTATTAATGTGCCATGTCTCATTCACCTTTGGTCACATCAACACAAAAGTTCAGCTTAACTAATGTATAACTGAATAATCCACTTTTTAACTGGTTAAATACAATCATTAACTCTCGTCTTTTCAGATTCAATTCAGTAAGTCATTAATTGCATTATCATGTGAATTTGACTAAAAACAACAAAAAAGGAACTAATGTGCCACTCAGCAATTAAGTGTAATTATTCTGTCTTGAAATTTGAACCCAACAAATGACAGAACAATAAATGAACAGATTAAAAAAAAATCTGCTTTTATGCATTTGCTTGCTGTTGAACTGACTTGAAGTAGAGAGCCAAGTCCGTGGCGATAATGGCGATATCCATGAGGTGGATGACGAGGTCGTGCTGACGGCGGTTTAGATTCTGATAAATGTTCAGTGCCTGAAACAAAAGACAAAGTTAAGACAGCCACTTTAAATAACACAGGAATGACAGGTAGGTTATAAAACACATGGGTGTGTGTAGGGGAGGTGAGGACTAAAACAGGAAACAGATGTGAGAAAACAGAGAAACTCAAACAGGTAACAGGAAGAAAAGCATGATTCTAAATCTTCCTTCTATATTCAAACCTAAATTATGGGAATTTACTACAGTACTGGAGAGTAAAATCTTATTCGCCATGTTTTCTTTTAACATGCAGCTCCCACAGGCAGATAGCATTTCATTTTTCATCACCACACTTTGGCACTGAGTTGCAGAAGGCAGTGCAACCAGAGGCTGCAGCTTCAGTTGTTCTCTTTTTCTCATCATGGTTGGATTTTTGCATTTCATGTCCTTATGTTGTACAGATGTTTAGGAGTTAGTGTGTCCAACCCTAGTGCGTGTGGCTGTGTTTCTGCAGCATACTTCATCTCTCAGCAGAGTCTTCCCAAACTCCAGATGGTGTCTTTCCAGGATGGAGGAGCCATGAAGCTTTGCCAGAGGGTGACCAGACCTGGAAACACACACACACACGGCATGCTGGGAGGTTACACTTTGATAAATCATGCATGTTAAACCCAGGCCTGGCCTGCTGCATCCCCGCAGCTAATAGTGGCTCTCATTAGTTCATCCATCAGCAGGTGGAGCAGAGCAGCTGGAGGTGGATCTGGTCAATATCAGCTCATTGATGTTCTCAGTATGTGACGTTACCTTCACCTAAAGAGCTGAGGCCAGCTCATCTGTACACAAGAGGAGTGAATGTTGTCACTTTGAGTCAATTGAATGTCCTTTGACAAAGCAGAGCAGTTTGATTACTAACTGGTTTAAATGAATGTAACCGAAACTCATGAAGAAACTGGGTCATGGCAGCACCAATAAATACAACCATACTCCTAAAAACATCACACTATTTATCTCTACTCCATCTGTTTCAATTCCAGTCACTTTTTCCCCAATTGATATGAATTTTCCTCAGTTTCTCTTCAGTTCACAGTTTACCTCGGACGAGCTACAGTCTTTCTCTGCATTTAGTTTGAAAATGGGTCTGTCATACATGTAAAGACCGCTCTCACGAAACAAAGACAATTCACTTGTGAGCTGCGACTACACATGTATTGCTCAGCTGGTCTCCTTTCACCTCAGCATCAATGACCTGCCTCATCATCAGAATCAGCTTTATTGGCCAGGTGTGTTGGACACACAAGGAATTTGACTGTGGTACAGTGGCTCTCAGAGTGATGGACAACGTTAATAGACAAGTACACAAGATAAGGCTGAGAGAACAAAACAGAAAGAAGACAGCTAATAGTTCACATTTGATATGAATCCCAGGAGACGACTGCCTAAAACATTTTAACAACCACAACTTTAACGCAACCACAAATACACTCTTTGGTCACTTTGTTGGGTACAAACGCTGACCACTGCTTTTAAGTCTGTTTATATGATGTTTTTGTTGACACCGCTGTAGAGGTTGTAAATCAATTATGTGTTAATTATGTTAAAGCACTGAGTTCATAGTTAAGGCTGTCTTGTAACTATGCCCTTCAATGTCAACTACTTCAACTACTTTTAAAAGTAACTTTCTGAATATACAAAACAAAATTTCTGCATAATTTAGCTGGCAGACACACCAGGGCTGGACGTCCCTGCAGCTGGGCTGTGTAGAGACCTGGTTAAAAAGAGCTGGTTTAACAACATAACCAAACACCAGCTTTCCTCCATGCGTAGCTCTTACTTCATCTGGTAGAGGTTGTTGGTTCCTCTGTGGTCGATATCGTGGCAGAAGCCAGCAGTTACCATGGCCATACACTCCAGGTCTGTGTAGTAGCGCTTCAGATCGCCTGTCTGAGACGACAAACACACATCAGACACAGAGAGAGAGGAGACTCGGTTTATTTATACGGTCGATTGTGGACATACTAGCACTTGTTGGCATATTAATGACACACCACTGGTTTTCTTCTTAATGACCACTTCACACAACACTGACTCACTTTTCATTTAAACACTTTGATCTCTTTCTCACTTACACACAAACTAGTGTCACGTTTCCAGTACATTCTAGGTGATGATACAAAAAACATAAGAACGGAGGAGAAGGAACAGGAGAGATGAACAATGAGGAGAAAAGAGGAAGAGGAGAAGAGCGGGTTTACTGGAGAGAGGGGGAACTAAATAAGGGAAACAGGAGGCGAAGTGCTCGAGAAGAAGAGAGGGATGAAGGAAGAGAGGGATGGAAGACTGAGTCAGCTGATCTGTGTGGGCGTGTCTGACCATCAGCAGGGTGAACATGGTCTGTCCAACGTTGAATCCATGTCTCCAGTTGTGGTAGGTGATCCTCCTGTAACCTTTACACACCGAATACATGAACCTCACCAGGACCTGAGGACCACAAGCAGGTTAAACACTATTAAACATTAACAGCCAGTGCAAAATGATGCTGAACATTGTTTTCTCATTTAACTGCACCATTAGCTCCTGGTAAATTTGTACAGGCCTGTGGGCACACATGGTTGAGTATTACAGAGTCTGTTTGTTTAGAATAATTCACTGTTTCAGTAACAACCTTCCCAACACAAACTTAACCGGGCAATGCCAGGCAAACAACTGCCGCTGCTCTCACAGATTCATTTAATCTGTAGTGAATTTCATCCATTATCTATACCGCTTATTCCTGAATAGGGTCACGGGGGGGCTGAAGCCAATCCCAGCTGACACTGGGCGAGAGGTGGGGTCCACCCTGGACAGGTCACCAGTCTGTCACAGGGCTGACATGTAGACAAACCACCATACATACACACACACACACACACCCAGTCAGCCTAAACTGCATGTCTTTGGACTGTGGGAGGAAGCTGGATGATGTAAAAATACTGGACATCGCTTTCTTTCTTGTGTGTAACTAATGTTTACTATGAACAAATGTTGTGCAGTCTTTGTAAAAGGATGCTCTTTAGCTTAAAGAAGTCAGGAAACTGCTTGTAAAAGTTGTTTGCTCTTTAGGAAAGGCAATCTCCTGATAAGAAAACACACATGGTGACCTGACCCCCATGACTGGAGGGGACAAATGCTTGGCTGGCAGAACAAAGAGCAATAAAACTGCAATGAATAGTATAAGTAGCTCTCACAGAGATTGCTCCTGTGAGCATTATTATCAAAGACTTCTTGAGTGTTGATGTAGTGCTCCTTCTTGCAAGAATAATTAAAAGATGCCTTGATAATTTTCAACAGTCTCAGCAATCCTTTGTCTCACCTTGTTAAATGTTTCTAACACTGGAGTACCCGGAGAGAACCCACGCAGGACGCCCACAATCATATCACGATAAGTGATATTCTGTTATCATTACATTACCTGTAATTAACAAGTATAGTAACTTATTTAAGCTCTCTTTCATAATATGATATCAGAAAGGGTTTTTCAAACTGTGATAATGATTGCTTGTTTTCATCCAGCTGTTTGAGGCTAGGAGCCTTGTCAGAGCCTCGAGTGCCAACTCAGGGCTCCATACAAGTTGATCTAAATCAACATTTTGTCTGTTTAACGTCTTGCGGACAGCACAGCCGAGTCCATTTAGACTTTGCAGCCCTTTCAGAAAAAAAAAAGGGACCATTATGCAGATCAGCCACCTCCCTACCCACCTCTCTGGGAATGTGGAACTTGTCCACCACTTTCAGTTCATAGTACATCTTGATGCCGCACTTCACCAGGTCCAGCTCACTGTGTTCAAAGTCGCAGAAGTGAAACTCGAAGAGCTCAGATTTCTTAGAGTCCGGCAAAACCTCCGACTGTGGACAGAGATCAATAATCACAGTTACACACAAAAGGTCACATTAGAGTTGTAGAACTGATATAATAAGGCTACTCCTCTAGCATGGTGGCGTTTTGTTCATAAACAACCTCAGAGAACACCACAGACGAGCTACATAAATGTTTTACTGTTTACCAGAATCTCTTCGAGCTCCTCCTCCTCACACTCATCCGGTTCCTTCCTCCATCTCTCCCTGGTGTTCTGGGGAAACAAATCATCAGCTCTCACCTTGGATAAAACTATTCAGCATCAGTTAACTGAGTCCTGATCTGTAGTCAGACCAGGTCATCTCCTTTTGTTCTCTCTGTCTGTCCACTGACAAATCGCTTCATGGAAAATCTGACAGCTTGTTTCAGTTTATAAATGATACTCACCTCCTGTTTATATCATCCGTAACAACCAACTGGTTTGAAACCGACTCGCATTTGTGTCACACAAAACAAATCCACAGGATAAAGCTCTGCAGAGCCCCTGGTGCCTTCTGCTTCCCTCTCGTGTTTAACTGATTAAAAATACATTCTTCATCTAAACCTTGTGCCACTCAAAGTGGTCCAGCAGTGGTTTTTATTTTTTTATTTAATTTCAACTAAACGCTACAGGTACTCACTGCAAAGCTACTGGAACACACATTAAACTTACTAATGTTGATGTTTTGATTAAACAAATTAGCTTAAAATTTAAAAGTTGCTCAGAATTTATTTTTAAAAAGAGTTTTTTCGATGCAACTTCTTCCATGGCCCATAATCAACAGTTTTTGATCCAAGGAAGTTTCGATTCAAACGTTTGTATTAACCTTAAAAACACATTTTGGTCAGGTCAAGGAGGATTGTTTATTTACTAACCAGTATGTTCTGGATTTCATCCTTGCGACACTTGACATGGTACAGCACCATGTCCTGGTAGATGTCCTTCCTATTCTCCAGCTTGTTCATCTTGTCGTAGGTGTCTGTGTTCAGCACTGACCAGCCCAGGAACTGGGCCAGGGACTGGACATCGGCATTTGTGTGTACATGAGAGGGAGAGAGAGAAGTTAACTGCCTATTTACACCAGCTGATGTGCCAAACAAATTTATACAAGTCATAAAAAAAAGTATAAATCTTTAACTGATTCTGTGTTTTATGCACAATTGTACACAGCTCTGAGTTTCTGTAATTGACACTTTGTGTTCAGCTACACTGGACATCGCTGCTCAAGCAAACTGCTGTATTTGTGTCCACACCTGAGAGAACACACTACAGAAACATTTCACTTCATGTCAGTGGTGGAAAAAGTTCTGATCTTTCACTTAAACCAAAGTAGGACCACCACGATGTGAATAGAGCTCCAATACAACATGTTACTCAAACATACACAGCACATTGTTAGCAGCAAAGTATAAACCATTGTAGGGAGGTGTGCTCAACTGCACAAGATGTCAGCAAACAAGCATAAAAAGTAATAAGAGCACATGTGAGGCAGACTTTATCTCAAAAGCCAACTCTTCAGAACTAAGCAAAAGCTCAGAAGAAGGCAAATGTGCCTCTTTGCAGGCTCTCATGCTTGTTTGCTGCCTGAACTACAAGCACCTCCAAGCTCTACTTAAGCACACTATGTATCTACCACTCGTTCCAGCTTTTGTTCAGGAACAGTTTGTTACCATTTGCTAAAACATCAAGTCAGAAAGCTTTCTGAAGTGGGTCAAATCACTTGTGCAGCACAGCAAACAGCAAATCATATGAAAATGTCAAAACTACTTTAATTTGAAAGAACAGTTGAGGTTCAAACTGTCAGGATGCGTGTTGTAACTGAATCCTGAGCAGTAAGGCAGACAGAGACCTCAGCAAAGAGCCTCCAGGCCCAGTCTTAAATAATGGAGATGCTAAGAATGGCCTGAGTGTATTTAAAAACCAATGACTCAGTGCTGTCACAAACATGCTTATTTTCATTCCTCATGGGGACTTTACATTGACTTACTGGAGACCACTACTGACCCTTACCCTTACCCCACCTACCAAGTCATCACCCTACAATTCAGCGATTTAAATATTGAGGACCAGCATCTGTTCCCATGAGGAAGGCCCAGGTCCCCACAGTGTAAGTATGTAAACAGTGTGACTACTACCAGACACACACACCCAGATCCTATACCTCCATCAGCGTTTCATCCATTTCATCAAAGGGTTTCCCATCCTTCCTGTTGTAAAATGTGGCCACACCCACAATCTCTTCTTTCTTGTTGACGATTGGCATAGACAGGACGTTCTTAATGGTCCAGCCGGATTCATCCAGAGGCTCTTTCTGTGCATACACAAACACACACACAGTTCAGCAAGCAGTATTTCTAAGGCTATAAATACTGTACCTGTACTTCATCTGCATGTTTAATATGGGGCCTTTTTTTTGCCTAATGTCACTATTTTTCCACCATAACAGCAGAAACCTCACAGAAAAGTAACAGATTTCTACATCTAGAGGAAATATGCAGACAATCAGTTTACGCACTCACTGTTCCTACAATCTGGACATCCTGCTGCAGCCATTGTTGGAAGTCTCACTTTTCAAAATGGACACTTGTGGAACTAATGCTGCACTTCAGCATCATTAGTGTAGACGTTTAGATAAAAGTAAAAACGAAAGAGGATATGCTTGGATGCAGTGCATTTTCAAGTCAATATTCAGTCAAACTGTAAGCAGCAGTGAATCCGGATCCAGGTATGAACCAGTGTATCAGAAACCAAGTATCATTAAGGAAAATACAATGAAAGCTTTAGTGCCCTCAGGAAACCAATTTTAACTAAGGAGAGCAGAGAATATGGAACATATCACTTACAACTATACAGCAGAATCATTCCCAGTGGTCTGCTGTGGTACATCTGAGGCCATTATATATTGTAGATTAATTTTCTCATACATTATATCTACATATTGTATACTCTCAGCTATATTTTATATTGTTGTCATACATAATGCTCATTAAAGATAAGCTAAACTGTTCTATAATAACTGGTGTAAAGGAAAAGATATGAATATGAAACTGGAGGTTAAGCTTTAGAAACTTTAAGCTTAAACTAAGTTTTAATTTTAAAGCAGAAAAACCTTTTTGCTGCTGTACCTTCTTTCATAAATCAGTTATACAGTGTACTTTAACTGCAGCTTTTCACTGGTCTGTAAACACAATCATCTACAGTAGGATGCCTTCCACATCACATCTATATCAGAGAGCACGCCTGACATCTTTGATTTATAAAGTTATCACATGGAAATGACCCAATTACAATGACTCACAGTTCATACAGCAAACAGAAATCATCTCTGGGACCAAATTAAGCTGATTGTCTTCAGTCCCTTAGGTGTTTTAAGAGCATACAGCTGACCTGATGAAAAACCAGTCTTCATATTTTACCTGACAATTTTATTATACAACACTTGTCTTATTGGTTTTATGTTGTCCTGTGTGTTTTATCTCAAACTATTATTGCAGCTGAGTGACTTGTTGTGTTTGTGGTCTCTGACACAAAAAGATTAGAATATAGAATCAAACTCTGCTGCTTAGAATTGTTAAAAGCTGCTGCCATCTTACCTGGAAGCTAAAAAATTCATCCTCAGCTGCATTCATGATGTTACAAATCTGTTGAAAACGAGAAATAAGAAAACAGAAGTGAGTTGAGGATGGCATTTGGTAAACGATGCTACATATGTGAGGGGTGTTTATCCTAGTTTTAGGTAAGAAAGACACATTAAATTAGCCCATAATAATTCTCAGTAATATGTGACGAGAATTACAGCAAGTGGAGAAGGTCAGCTTTGGAAGGAATAAGATCCTGAAAATGGCTTGAGTGAGGAGGGAAAGATGTGAAAAACTCCACCTTCAGCTTCTTGGCCTGAAGGACCGCACGCTCATATGTTATGATCATCACCGTGATCATCATCAGGACCTGACAAAGTTTCACTGCTACACAGTCGATCCATTCTAAACCTCTTGTGTCACATCCAAAACTATTACCGTCAATCTGAAGTCTTAATTTATGAAAAGGTGGCTCTGTGGAAGAATGATGTTTTTACATGATATACAAGAGCTAGAATGGAGAAGATGAGCGAGAAAAGATGATGTAGAGTTGAAAAACGACAAGTAGCAAAGACAAAGAAAGGACAGGAAAGGAGGAGGGCAGAGGGATGGACAGACGAGTGACGGCAGGCTCAGCAGGTTGGAAAAAAAGCACACTGTGATTAATTACAACTGCTGCAGAAATTACAATTATATATCATAGCAGCGTGTTGCCAAACACTTTTCATTTCCACAGTGGCGTGCACACTGACAAGTGTGTAATAAGGCTCAGATGTGTTCTGCTCCTCTGACCACCTATAGCTTCCAATGAGGATATTTTAAAACAAAGATTTTCTTGAGGACCCTGCTTTTACAAGGACTCCTGTAAAGCAGAAAAGAAAGCTGCTCCCACAGAGTCAGAGTGAGACATGAGGACACGAGCTTGGTTGAATCCAGCTACACTCACTGATCTGCCAAAAGGTTCTTCACTAACTTGTTTTAAGATGAGAATATAAATATGACACCTAGATGCTCTAAATTTAAATCTCATTATTCCTCTTGCCCACATCTGAATTTATGGCCTTGAGAGCTGACTTTCCTCACAGTAACCTTAGAAAACATTTCTGGCAGCAGAAAAGTTATACATCCACAAATTTGAGGAGGAAGAATGATGGAATGTGTTTCTACAGCTTAATGCACAGTTTGATGGCCATTAACACTACACAGCTTTCCTACAACGAAAGACGCAGACAGACATCTGCCTAAAGCTGCTTTGAACATCATATTGCTCCTCTGTGAGGAGCTAGTGTTTGCACAGCTGCATGGCACATCTGAACCAATGTTAGACTTACGAAAGGAAACAAATATTTTACCGTCGACAGCTTATTAGGCTAACATATATTGTAGCAGGATGTAGTCTGACCTTCAAGGAAGGACGCAAGTCTGTGGGGTTTTATTTTTTGCTCTTTAAAAGTTAATTCATGTAATGTTATCAGGGGAGAAACATGTAAAAGGCTGTGTCAAATGCAGCCAAATGACCAGTCATGGTGTAGGAATATTCCCGGATTTGAGAGTTTATGCTCATTTCATAACAATGGCACAGATCTATTTAAAATCTCAGAGCCAACTTGTCACTGACCAGTCCAGTTTCGGCTACGTAGGCTGGTAAACCGCTAACCAGGGCCCAGTGATCTGCTGGGGGATTCCTAGAGGTAAACAAAGATGTAAATTAATTCTTTATTAAGTGTTAATATTAATTTAACTCCACCATGGTGCATAAATATTATGTGATGTGAAGAAAATTAAACAGCAACAGCTTTCAGTTTACACAGGTGAGACTGTCAGGATTAGTCTGCAGATAAATGCTTGGACAGTGGTTATTAATATTTACAAGAGAGGCCATGTTGTATAGGAGATAAGAAAAGATCCCTAAAATGCAGATCACAATTGGGTCAGGGAAGAAGAGCTGCATTAGTATGCTGTTGTCATCTCTTTTCCAATATGGCTGTGTGTCCCTTGTTAGCAATGATAACCACTGTCCAAACACCTCAAACTAAATCTCTGTTCTGACTCACGGTATGACTTTGATGTCCTCTTTACCATGAAGAATGTAGTCAATCACTTTGTAGAAGATAATTTCCTGGAGAAGAAACAACACAAAAAGTCAGTCAGTGTGGATCCTCACAGCTCCCAGGGCAGGTCATTTATAGGGTATCACTGGTCATATAACATGGCTATCAACTCTGGATTATGAAAGACCGCTTAATTGTCATTTACTGTATTTAGCTGTCAAAGTTACTAATTCAGCCCACTTTTATCATTACGGAGCCAGATGGGCACAGGTTGGCCTCCATTCCCACTAACATTAACATTTTCATTCCATAACAGCAGACGGTAATCATTCTAACTCGGGTTCAGTCGGCCCTGCTTCCATCCAGCGCCAAGTGGGGACGAACTCCACCTTCAACTGAGCCGGTTCATCAAGACGCGATTGGCTGAAATGTTGTATTGAGGCAAAGTCCTTACATTCAGCATCCACTTTTTATCAGTAATTTCATTGCAGCAGGATTTGAAATGGAATCTCTCACTTGGTCATCTGATTATGCCTAGCACCAAGGACTCCATGTTGCACGCTAGCAGTCTACGCAAGGCAACACCACACTTACCCCGAGGCTGAAAATCTCAAGCTTGTGGTGAGGATGGTGCTAGAGAAAAACCATTATGCAGCAAAACCAACAGTTTCATAGCCCTGGGAGAACACATCTGCTCAACAGGGGTCAGGTGGCAATACTACAACTACTTTTGATATCTTGGAAAATTTGGCTTGATGGTGATGCTAGAAGACAGGCCAGAGAACTGCTACAGAAAGACAATTCAGCCTCTGTGGGCCAAAAACACTCGACACGCTTCCTGCCACAAACCTCTCTCGTGGATAAGTGATAGTCAAGCAGACATTTTGGCCTGGTGGTGATACTAGACTAGCCGGGTCGGCTCGGTTGTCAAACCCCTGACACTGTTCTACCAAGATGGTGGTAGCAGTAGCTGTAGTTCTAGTAGCACTGGTCAGCCATTTCCTCACCCTGCCGTCAGGAGTTTTTGGTCCATCATACGGTGGGACATCTCCCATCAGAACAGGCCAGAGGTCAAAGAACTCCTACGGACACACACAGACAGAGACAGAAGAATCACTCAATGCTGAGCTACTAGTTTTGTTTATTCTTAAGTGCTTCATTCATGAAGTCCAGTGTTGTTACCAGACAGCCATCTGTGCAGGCAGACAACAAATGGTGGTTCTTAAATAGCAGGTGTTAGGAATCAAATGGCAGCTGCTTGTAATTAGGTGACAGCCACAGCCAGTAAGTAGTATTTATGACAATGTGTTAGTTATCACAAATAAACAGGGATGTAACGATACTGACCAATAGGTGGTTTGAAGTATAAATTTTATTGTCAACATAAAAAGCAAAAAAAAAAACTAAATCAAGATGACCAAATCATGCAGATTAGACAAAGAAACCCCAGAGGACTTTGTGAAAATGTCTATTCCCAAAAGATAAGGAGAACAAGCAGAAACAGCATAGCCTAAGTACACAGCAACTGATGCACTGAGTGTAAACTGTGCAAAAGTTTATTTTAGTTGTTTTGTGGCTCAAATACTGCATAATCTGCCAATTATACATTTTATATCATACTCTCTTTAGACCACAATAAAAGCCCAAATGTTGCTTATTGTTCTTACTGATCTGCTTTTACAAAGAGGTCTACTGTAACTGGTTTTGACTACTTAAATTAACCTTTATTCAAGTGAACTACTTCTTAAACCTGAGCATTTGTGGCAATTTGAGGCAACACTGCTGTGCCATCTGTAACCTGAACATGTTCAACTGTGTAGCACAGTCTGGTATCTACACTCAGGGGATGAGTGCACTGTTTGCAGACCTCCGGATTCATTGTTTTACAGCTTGTTCCTGACTCTAGGGGTATATCTATGGTAACCCACCTTGGTCTTGGTCATGTCCAGCAGCCCCACAGAGTAACGGTCACAGTTGAGGAAAGCTCGGACTGTGTACAAGGCCTTGTGGAACTGCCTCTCTATGTCTGTCAGCTCTTCAAACACCTTGCTGGCCGACCACAGCAGCACCTGCACCACCGAATAGAACATAGTACAGTTTAACATGGAATCTCGGTCTCTCTCGCTGCCACTTCTCCAGTTTTTGTTCCCTTCCTCTGGTTTTTGCTGCTTTGGCAATATGACTGAATACACTATGTGGCTCTTTTCATCCTTATTTAGTATCACAAATCACGTAATCAAGCTTTTAAGAAGTGTTATCCTGGTCGAGACATTTTCAGCTAAAGTGTTAACCCAGAATTAAATGACATTAAATTTTAAAACAGAACAAGTCTAATTCAGATCCTAAATAAATAAGTATTGCATATCAAGTGCTACGTCTTATATGGCCTCGCCTGTCCCCTCCTGGTCTCACAGTTGTGTAGGTAGTTCAGGTGGAAAACTCTCAGGACCAGGTTGGCAAAGTTCAGGTACTTGTTCAGGGTCTGGAAGAAAACAGAGTCATCAGTTACATTTTTCAAAAGGCATTATCTCATTTTCAAGTCAAAAGCTGCCAAATGTCATTACTGATATTCTCATATTTAACCAAAACATAAGCCTATAATTTAATCCTCTTGCTTTGTTGACAGTGAAAATGTATAATTACTGTGTGGCATTTGGCTTGTATTCTACTGAGGGCAGCCACAACGTTTGCTTAGAAGTTGCTGATTACAGCCAATAGCAATAAAATTCAGAAGCAGCAATTAATGTAATGTAATGTGACTGCATCCTTTGGTAACGATTTTAAAACTTATACATCTGACATTGGGCAAACATAATTCACATCACATTTTCATAGCTTTGGCAGGAAGACATGTTCAGTTTATCCCAGCGGCCTGGCCCTCTGCACCCACAGATGTTCTGTGGCAGCTTTCTCTTGGCTGAGAAATGTCCTCATTTTAGCTTTCAGCAAGTTAAAAGAATGGTCTTGTTAGTTATGATTAGGAAGGCTTTAGATTTGTGTTGCAATATATCAGCTGAGTTTAGGCAATTTGTGCAACAGCTGGTACTGCAGGCAGTGGGAAGTCTGAGGCAAAAACCCAGCAAACAAACAAAAACTAGAAATGCTGAGGGTGAATTTCCACAGCTGGCAGCAGTAGATGTTACCTCTTCATCCTTGGCAGTGAAGCATGACCCGTCCAACTTGTTGACAGCCATCATGACCGCCACCATGTCTTTACCGTTCATGATGGGGATAGCGAGGATGTTCTTGGTCTGATACTCCGTTAGCTTGTCCACAAAGTCATTGTAATATGGGCTCTATGAGGAGAAAACAGAGACACAGAGGGGAGTTGGTTGCATTTCATTCCCCTGCCATTTGCCTCTGCACCTTTCACAATTTCCAGTCAGCCTTGATTAACAAACCACTCGCAATCATAAACGCTGCTAGCACAGACTTTTCATTTTCCACACAGTCAAGGTCTTCTCTGCTACACTCCACCTACTGCCCCTCCTGTGCAGCAAGGATCATCACTTCCATTCCTCTGGGGGTGAAACAAAGGGAGAGAGGATCGGTAACTGCCAAAAAGGAACAAAAGCCTGAAGAGAGCGACCCTGGGAACTGGTGACAGTCCTGATCTGGGCAAGGGAAGGTCTAGGCTTTTGTTCAGCTCTTATCTCCTGGTTTGAATAAGGTTGAAAAGAAATACACAAATTAGGAATCAGTGAGCCAGAGAGGCACACCATTTATTTTTAAGGGCAAAAAGTACTACTGCTTATTTAGCCTCTTTACCAACCTCACACTCACCCACACGAGAAGACCCATAAGATCACATTTACAATATCTCCATCTTTCAGCCTCCTTTCTCAGAGACCTAACAGTACCACTGCCACGTGCAAAGCAGAGAATGAACAACTCAAGGGCTCCCCTCCTACCCAGCTGCACATGCATATCGTGGATATGCAAAAAGGTTTTAACTTGTCTTAATGCACTTCTGTGTGAGACACAGTGTAATAAAGTACATGTTCCTATGAAATAAAAACCCGTTGTCGTTCTTTTCACCTTCTATTTTTTTTAATTTGTGCATCTGTTTAAGCAGCAGTAATGAGATTTCAGCAGCGCTCAGCCTGTACCTCAAACTAATCCAGAAGATCCATCCATCCATTTTCCTCCGCTTATCCGGAACCAGGTCGCAGGGGCAGCAGTCTAAGCAAAGATGCCCAGACTTCCCTCTCTCCAGACACTTCCTCCAGCTCCTCCGGGGGAATGCTGAGGCGTTCCCAGGCCAGCCGAGAGACATAGTCCCTCCAGCGTGTCCTGGGTCTTCCCCAGGGCCTCCTCCCGGTGGGACATGCCCGGAACACCTCCCTAGGAAGGCGCGCAGGAGGCATCCGAAACAGATGCCTGAGCCATCTCAGCTGGCTCCTCTCAATGTGGAGGAGCAGCGGTTCTACTCTGAGCCCCTCCCGGGTGACCGAGCTCCTCACCCTTTCTCTAAGGGTGCGCCCGGCCACCCTGTGGAGGAAGCTCATTTCGGCCACCTGTATCCAGGATCTTGCCCTTTCGGTCATGACCCAAAGCTCATGACCATAGGTGAGAGTCGGAACATAGATCGTAATCCAGAAGATAATTTCTTGTATTTCATGTATTAATGTCTTAAATTCGGCCCAACGCATATGTGAATTAAGTTCTTGCTTAGGGTCCATGTGGGTGCCAGAGGAGAAATGTCCCACATATAGTCTTAAGTGTGACAGTAGTGTGGGAAACAAAACAGAAAAACCACTACCTGATCCTGGATCAACCTGGGCAGGTTGACAGCTTATTACTGGGTGACCTCTGACCCCCTAAAGGTCTTCTTTAGTTGAAGCTTTGTCATGACCTTTGCCCAGCAGCTTTACATTAGAATCTGAATGCAAGTTGTATTTGGATATAGAAAAATACAGACTTATACATTTATATGCACTGTATTATCTGAATGCACTTCTGGCCATATAAGTAAGAAACTCATATACATGTATATGAGAAACTAAAAAAAGCCTCTACAACTTCTGATTAAATCTGTAATATGTCAAAGTCAACTGGTGTCAGAGACCTCGATTTGAACTAGATTAATAAGTATACAACAGTTTGTTAAATATAAAGGACTAATGAGCGCTAAGATGAAAATTGTCTCACTTCCCTGAAATGTGGAACATCAAATGTGTAATAATAAATGTATATAAACTCAAACAATAAACTTCCTCCCTGGTCAATGTAATGTTTATGACACATTAAGTGGATTTCAGGGTGTTTCTGTTCTAATGAATAAAAATATGAAAGTGAAACAATAGAATGTAACAATAGATTAAAGGTGTGTTGTAGTGCTGAGTCTATGAAAATGTCTCAGGACCTGTGTGACCTCTGGGCATAATGTGGGATCAGTCTAATTCAGGACAGATTAACCTTCCACACATGCACATGCCTCCAGTAACCACACCTTAACAAAGAATCAGAGTTATGACACTGTACAGAGAAAGTACAGAATCACATCTTCTACCTGCACACAAGAAACCAAACTGGTTCACCGGCTGCACTGGGTTGGGCTGAGATGCAAACGGAGGACAGTGATTCCCAGTGTGTGCATTAGTCTGAAAGGCCATCCACAGTGCATTAGCATCATAAAGCCATCCAATTATATGGAAACATTAGCTGTTCCTTCTATGCAACTGGGGAGACCGAGGCTTGGAGGCTTTGATATTGTTGCAGTTTGCACATTTCCTGTTGTGCTTCCATGTGTTGGTGTAAGGCTGCAGTGTGACTGATGGAGGTTTTGAACAGCACAGTGGTTGTTCTGTGGTGACTCACAGTGAAGGCACAACAGGCTGGCCTGGTAGCAGAAATGGTAAAAAACAAACAGAATCGATCAAGCTGGGTCTGTTTTGTTCATACATCAGCAGATGAGCTTCCTAATCTCCCATGAAAACATGAACTGATGCAGAGGAGCACTTGTAATTCATCGGTTATATGGAGTGGGCTGGTGCCTTAAGTGTAAATGTCACAGTAACAGTTGGTACAAGTATGGGTGACAGGAGGGGGTGGAATTGAAGGTAGTGGACCTCCAGCAGCATGACAGACTTGAAGAGTACATGGGAATAAGCTTACCAGGTATTTTCAAATGTCAGAGGCATCAGCTATAATGAGATTGAGCAGGCTTTGGTTGGAAGGAATTAGTGGCAGAGACACTGTGGTGTCAGGTCACCCTCTTGTGGTCAGACGGACACCAGCAGTAGACTGGTTTTATCACCGTACAAATAAAATGTTTACTGAGCAATAAGCAGTATTTATAGAAATAGTTTCATTTTTACAGAAAGGTTTGTTCCCTGGGAACCTGCAACTTTAGATCGACAAACCGGCTTTTTGATTCCATTCTTTGAAAACTTTATTTCCTGGCCACAGATCTGTGCTGGATCGGGACTGATTTAAGGACCCAGCAGTGGTAAGTGATTGAGTAGGACATGATACCTACAGTACACAAGGTTTCCCTCCCACTGGGGTCTTATAAAAATATCTGCCCCCAGTAAGTATTGATGTATAAGTATACACTTTAAAGAAACACTGATGTACCTTAAAAAATATATTCATGCAGGAGTAACTGAAGGAAGACCTTCTTTACACAAAGTAAACAGGGCGACAAAAATACTCCTCCTGGCTTATTTATTTCTTGGTTTGTTTTATCTAGATGTTACTGTAGATGTTAATGCATTTAATTTAGAGTGCCATTGGCATGATCATTTCCAGCCATTTAATGTTTAATCTTGGGTACCTCTAGATTAGCTTTGCACCCATCATAACTCCAAATAGTCAGTAATTATTTCAGTACAATAAAACCCGAGAACTTCTTCCTAAAAACAAGAGGACAGTTTGTGAACATGCACAATAACATCAGGGATCATTAGAATCCTCTCACTAACCAGCAACACATCACATGTGGCAGATACACTGGCCTCAGGCGGTCAAAACAAAGGCACTGTGCTCCAGGGGAATCTGGTATTGATTAGCTGATCACTAACCGCCGTGGGGGGGGGCTTCACTGGCTGGCTACTTGTAGGTTAGACCCGACCAATTAAAACAGCGAGTCCCTGTACAGGAACATTCCCCGACATGCAGTAACATCAGGCCCTGTATTTTTCTCCACATCCTCTGGTCACAGTGCAGCAGGAGAAGGGAAAACATATCCACATAACCGGGCACAGTCGAAAATTTTGCTTTTACTATGGCACCGGTGGATGTCAGGCAAGCTGACATGAACATGCAATGGCCTGGAGATTGACTATTCAAGGAGATCCTTAAACCATCACGTAGGACTTTATTTTGTTAGAAAAAAAGTCTCACCTGCAAGAGTTTGTGAGATGTGTATAAACCCATTTACTTCTGCATAGAAATACAACATCATAGGTACATCTCGTTTTTTGAGGTTTCAGTCACGTTTAAGATGATAATTCATCACTGTAACATTGTAGAAAAGTCAGAAAACAGAGAAAAGCATTCCACGGGCTCTTTAAGGAGGTAAAAGCAAAAAACAATAAAAAGTAGTTACCATATTTTACCATTTACAGGTCAGTTAAATGGATGTGAGGAAAGACTGTATATGAATAAATGAACAAGTATCATGGTATCAGTAGTATAAAGTAACTAAGTACATTTATTCAAGTGTTGTACAGGTAGAATTATCAAGTACAACTGAAGTATCTGTACATTACTGGAGTATTTCCATTTTCTGCTATTTCTTACTTCAACTTCACTACATTTCAGAGGTAAATATCAAGACTGTAGTTTTGCATATGGATGGCAGGGACATGTCCCTACCAGTGACAGGACAGGAGGACAGAAATGTGGATACCAAAATTTGAGCCAACCCGTGTGCATATCTTTGGAGTGAAGTCGTATTAGATCATTGTGATGTGCCCTCCCTGAGGCTACATCTACAGGACAACATCCTAGTATCTGACTGACTACGTTACGTGCAGACGTTATATTTTCTCCCAGACACGAAGGCGGCCAAAGCTGATGGTCATTGTGCTGCTAGCGGATGTTATCATGGCTGTCTGTCAATACCTCAAGCATGGGCAAAAAAAATGTAGAGTTTTCTTCACTTGTTGTGGATCGAACAGTTCAACAATAAACTGGAACTCACTATAACATTTTTTCATGTTATTGCATTGTTTTCACATTTGTGATTTAAATAACATTTCATTGTAAAAATACTGTTCACAGTCACTTTAAATTTTGAATAGTTTGCACAGGTTCCAAGTATTTTTGGTATTTTGTGTTCACACTTGACTGAAGAGATATCTGGAACTGTCACCAGGTTGCTCCATAATGTTCTAATTTTCAAGGTTTAATTCCACATAGGTTTGTTCAGTCGTAACTGATTCATTCATTCATTCATTTTCTACCGCTTAATCCCCGAACGGGGTCACGGGGAGGGCCGGAGCCAATCCTGGCCGGCAATCGGGCGAAGGCGGGATACACCCTGGACAGGTCGCCAATCCATCGCAGGTCGCAACTGATTTGTTGTATCAAATATATTGTTTTTCTTATTTGTTGGTTAGGCAGGACCCTGCCATGCTCAGGAGCAGAGGTAGTCTGCATGTTAGTGCTGGCACTGTTATGGCAGCTTGTTGTTGCTGCTGGAACCGTCCGTCTTGCATCAGTTTTATTATTTCCCAATGTGCCTGTGCAACCAAACCAGTAACCTCTGGTTATTTTTAGTTTTCTGTAAGTAGCAATTAAGAACCTGTTTAGAGTTGGCATGAAATCTGGAACTAGGGCTCAGCATTTTGACACTTGAGTGCAATGAACGGAACTGAAATGTCTTTTAAACTGGTAAAGCATGAAGTGTGCCTAGTATTGTTTATGTGACATGCAGTACATGCAGAGGTCTGTTTATTTAGCGGTTATGTTTTCATATGGTTTTATTTCATATGTTTTTTTTGTTTGGTTTTTCTTATTGCTGTACCGACTGGAGGTCACTCTAAAATTTCATTGTACGTGTTACAATGACAATATAACATTAGAATCAAAATCAGCTTTATTATCTTATCTTAATAATTATAATCCAATATAATATACAATATGAGGTAAGCTACATTAGTGTGAGATGTGCCATTCTGCATAATTTGTACTTTCACTTTTGGTACTTTTAGTATAAACTGATCCTTAAACTATCACGTAGGACTTTATTTTGTTAGGAAAAAAAGTCTCAGCTGCAAGAGTTTGTGAGATGTGTATAAACCCATTTACTTCTGCATAGAAATACTTTTGTACTTTTACTTAAGTAAACAATCCAAGTACATCTTCCATCACTATGTCATATTAATGGCTATATCAGAATCAGATGTAGGCATTTGTACCACAGTGTGAGTGAACATTAACCCCACACACAATTAATATGCATCTACCTGAGACACGTTGGGAACGTTGACCATCTTCTTGGTGGAGGCCACTTGGCCCACAAGGCCAATATCCAACGGGTACACAATCTCACTGTCCGGTGGCACCAGGCAGTCATCAAACACGGCATCTTTATGGACATTAAATAACCTGAAGGTAAAGAGGAAAATTACAATATAATAATGCACCATACAACTATGGTAGATTGTTTTCTTGACTGATTTCTTATAACTCAAACAGGTGATCTCCAGGCGTTGCCATTTGGACAAGTCAGTCATTAAGAGAGGACATGCTAATGTTCCTCTCAAAACTCCAACAGCTGGGGCTGGCAGCTTCTACATTTACTACAAGACAGAACAAATACTATTCTCCTAGTTCCCATTTATTTAACTGATGTTTGGTCAGAAGACTGTAGCTTCCCAGGCTTAACTGTTGCTGCCGACTTTTCATAAGACCAACATATAGTCATGTGCAGTTCACGGTGACAAAATGCCATCTTCATGCCATGTTTGACATGAATACATAATCTCTGTTTCAGTGATCATCTCTTGTGTTAATGTTAAAACAGAAAAGTCTAGTTTTAAGCTTTAAAGGGTAATTTCACCAATTTTTAACAAGGTTCTAATAATTACAGAATCAGCAGCGTATCGCTCCATTCTTCCTGTACATGGAAACACCGGTTCAGACTCTTGTAAGAATCTGCCGGGTGACGCAAAATGATGTTTTTTTTTTCATGAAAATTCTGTATAAGGAATTTGATATACTACCAATTTTATGTTTATTAAAACCTTGTTGAAAACTGGTGAAGTTCCCCTTTAAAAGAAATCCTCAGTAACCTTGTTGCCAGCTCAGCCACACCGTTCCTCTGCCGGTACATGAAAAGACTCATGCGGTCGGCCCTCATCATGAAGCTGAGGTGTTTCATCAAGTTGAAGACAGATTTCTCCATCTGCAGGTTGTCCTGGATGTCCCGCACCAGGTCAAAAAGGATCTCGCTCTCCTCCACCATTGTCAGGTCATGGAACTTGCTGATATCCACCGCTGTCTTACGGTTATTGTCCAGCAGGTCTGAGATGACCTTAGGCCGGAAGTTGAAGTCGTAGTACTGCTTGGCGAATTGCGGGTTGGCATCGAGGAACTGCTCTGCTGCTGCTGGGTCCACCATGGCTGCTGCTGCTGATAGGGAGAAGTTTGAAACCGATTATAATGCTTGGGGCTGGATGGTTAGCTATTCAAATTCAAAGTGAGAAAAGTCTGGTTGGAAAAAGTGCCTATTCATTCAGTAAATCCCCAGGAAGTGGCCTGTAGCATGGCATTTAACTTAAACTGACCTAACAGCAAAAACCTTCACATTAAGACTGTATTAATTATTTATGGAGACTTCGAGGCTGAGCAAATCCACACAAGTAAAAACAAAAAAGAAATGAGTCCAAGTTTTAGCTTTAACTTTTAGCTCTGGTTTGGTCTCCACCAGCTCCTGAGAAAAGCATCTGCCACTGGTTTCACTAACTTCACCAGGTTATCACTGATGTCTGTGCTTTGGTGTTTGACCTGTACAGTGGGTTGTTTGCTGAAAACTGCCATCAGCTGGAAAAGAGGCCGATGACAGTACTGAGCCTGAATCAGAAAGTAAATGTGTGGTAAAACCAAAACAATGCACTAAAAGAGGATAAAAATCTCAGGAGCTACAGAGACAGGGGGACAATAGTTTGTGAATTTAACTGTCTACAGCCACTTTGACATGTTGGCCTTAAAAATGTGTATGTCTCTGCTAGCACTTCATATAACATGACTGGTAACTGCTTTAGTTATACATTAAACCTGCTAGTGCAGTGGTGGGTGGTGTTATCACATCAGGCCACTTCATGTAATACTTTCCTGTGATTTTCTGTTTATTCTAGCATTTCGTTGTTGTCCCAGTGCCCTAAATTGTCCAAGGTACTTCACATAAAAACTCATCAACAGTGTTATGATAATGATGTAAAACTTGACAACTGAGTGCCACAGATCTAATAGATTCTTTCATTTAAAAAAAATACAACGTACCTGTTGAGGTTCTTGTGCTGTCTCCAGACAACAGTGGAATCCCTCAGTGCTGTTTAACAAGAAAAGAGAAGAGAAGGGATTATCAGCATGGTTTTAAATGGTCATGTGTGGACATAAGCCTGTATCCAATTACAATACCTCTCAATCTTTAGTGACTCAAGCACTGCAGTACAAGGTACCATTCAGGGCTCTTATGCAGTATCATGAAACTTAATACTATAGATAGCCTGCTGAAATTAGCCATATATGAACCAGTTGGTTGCATGTTTTTAGCAGATACCTCCACCCAAATGTTAGAGTACCATATAAGACGACATTTTTAATATGGACAGCATTTTAGTTACATATTTCGAAGAGGCCGGAATGCACACATTTAGTTAACCCTCAAAAAGCTGATCCAAACACAGCAAAAGATAAACTGTTAAAAATCAATAAAACGTGTTTAATTTTTTTCAATTCATGACCATTCAACATTTCTGAACTTATGGGTCACAAGCTTTCATGTGATACAGCTCATATTAGATGGTGCCTGCTATTTAAACTAGGTAGAATCAAATCAAATCAAATCAAATCAAATTTTATTTGTATAGCGCCAAATCACAACAAAAGTCATCTCAGGACACTTTACAAACTAAGGTCTAGACCTTACTGTTATCAATATTATTATATAGGGAAAACCCAACAAATCCCCCTTGAGCAAGCACTTGGCGACAGTGGGGAGGAAAAACTCCCTTTAACAGAAGAAACCTCCGACAGACCCCGGCTCTTGGTGGG